CGTATCAAGCGTATCGAGCACAGTCATGAATCTACCATCCGTTATCATCTGTAGCGCACTCTTGGTGCCAACCTATAGAGTGTTGATTCTGGTGCAGGACCATCCGACATCACCCGGCCACATCACTCACTCCCATCAGTCGATCTATAGACTCTACCACGCTGCCGTATCAAGCGTATCGAGCACAGTCATGAATCTACCATCCGTTATCATCTGTAGCGCACTCTTGGTGCGAACCTATAGAGTGTTGATTCTGGTGCAGGACCATCCGACATCACCCAGCCACATCACTCACTCCCATCAGTCGATCTATCGACTCTACCACGTGCCGTATCAAGCGTATCGAGCACAATCATGAATCTACCATCCGTTATCATCTGTAGCGCACTCTTGGTGCCAACGTATAGAGTGTTGATTCTGGTGCAGGACCATCCGACATCACCCAGCCACATCACTCACTCCCATCAGTCGATCTATCGACTCTACCACGTGCCTATCAAGCGTATCGAGCACAATCATGAATCTACCATCCGTTATCATCTGTAGCGCACTCTTGGTGCCAACCTATAGAGTGTTGATTCTGGTGCAGGACCATCCGACATCACCCAGCCACATCACTCACTCCCATCAGTCGATCTATCGACTCTACCACGTGCCGTATCAAGCGTATCGAGCACAGTCATGAATCTACCATCCGTTATCATCTGTAGCGCACTCTTGGTGCCAACCTATATGAGTGTTGATTCTGGTGCAGGACCATCCGACATCACCCGGCCACGTCACTCACTCCCATATGGCGATCTATAGACTCTACCACGCTGCCGTATCAAGCGTATCGAGCACAATCATGAATCTACCATCCATTATCATCTGTAGCGCACTCTTGGTGCCAACCTATAGAGTGTTGATTCTGGTGCAGGACCATCCGACATCACCCAGCCACATCACTCACTCCCATCAGTCGATCTATCGACTCTACCACGTGCCGTATCAAGCGTATCGAGCACAATCATGAATCTACCATCCGTTATCATCTGTAGCGCACTCTTGGTGCCAACCTATAGAGTGTTGATTCTGGTGCAGGACCATCCGACATCACCCAGCCACATCACTCACTCCCATCAGTCGATCTATCGACTCTACCACGTGCCGTATCAAGCGTATCGAGCACAATCATGAATCTACCATCCGTTATCATCTGTAGCGCACTCTTGGTGCCAACCTATAGAGTGTTGATTCTGGTGCAGGACCATCCGACATCACCCAGCCACATCACTCACTCCCATCAGTCGATCTATCGACTCTACCACGTGCCTATCAAGCGTATCGAGCACAGTCATGAATCTACCATCCGTTATCATCTGTAGCGCACTCTTGGTGCCAACCTATTTAGCGTGTTGATTCTGGTGCAGGACCATCCGACATCACCCGGCCACATCACTCACTCCCATATGGCGATCTATAGACTCTACCACGCTGCCGTATCAAGCGTATCGAGCACAATCATGAATCTACCATCCATTATCATCTGTAGCGCACTCTTGGTGCCGGGGAACCTATAGAGTGTTGATTCTGGTGCAGGACCATCCGACATCACCCAGCCACATCACTCACTCCCATCAGTCGATCTATCGACTCTACCACGCTGCCGTATCAAGCGTATCGAGCACAGTCATGAATCTACCATCCATTATCATCTGTAGCGCACTCTTGGTGCCGAACCTATAGAGTGTTGATTCTGGTGCAGGACCATCCGACATCACCCAGCCACATCACTCACTCCCATCATGGCGATCTATCGACTCTACCACGCTGCCGTATCAAGCGTATCGAGCACAATCATGAATCTACCATCCATTATCATCTGTAGCGCACTCTTGGTGCCGAACCTATAGAGTGTTGATTCTGGTGCAGGACCATCCGACATCACCCAGCCACATCACTCACTCCCATATGGCGATCTATCGACTCTACCACGCTGCCGTATCAAGCGTATCGAGCACAATCATGAATCTACCATCCGTTATCATCTGTAGCGCACTCTTGGTGCCAACCTATAGAGTGTTGATTCTGGTGCAGGACCATCCGACATCACCCAGCCACATCACTCACTCCCATCAGTCGATCTATCGACTCTACCACGCTGCCGTATCAAGCGTATCGAGCACAATCATGAATCTACCATCCATTATCATCTGTAGCGCACTCTTGGTGCGAGTCACGAATCTACCATCCGTTATCATCTGTAGCGCACTCTTGGTGCGAACCTATAGAGTGTTGATTCTGGTGCAGGACCATCCGACATCACCCAGCCACATCACTCACTCCCATCATGGCGATCTATCGACTCTACCACGTGCCGTATCAAGCGTATCGAGCACAATCATGAATCTACCATCCATTATCATCTGTAGCGCATCTTTGCCGAGTCACGAATCTACCATCCGTTATCATCTGTAGCGCACTCTTGGTGCCAACCTATAGAGTGTTGATTCTGGTGCAGGACCATCCGACATCACCCAGCCACATCACTCACTCCCATATGGCGATCTATCGACTCTACCACGTGCCGTATCAAGCGTATCGAGCACAGTCATGAATCTACCATCCGTTATCATCTGTAGCGCACTCTTGGTGCCAACCTATTTAGCGTGTTGATTCTGGCGCAGGACCATCCGACATAACCCGGGCCACATCACTGTCTCCCATATGGCGATCTATCGACTTAACCACGCGCCGTATCAAGCGTATCGAGCACAATCATGAATCTACCATCCATTATCATCTGTAGCGCATCTTGGTCCGAGTCACGAATCTACCTCCGTTATCATCTGTAGCGCACTCTTGGTGCGAACCTATAGAGTATTAATTCTGGTGCAGGACCATCCAACATCACCCAGCCACATCACTCACTCCCGTGTGGCGATCTATCGATTCGACCACGCGCCGTATCTAGCACAATCATGAATCTACCATCCATTATCATCTGTAGCGCACTCTTGGTGCGAGTCACGAATCTACCGTCCGTTATCATCTGTAGCGCACTCTTGGTGCCTACGTATAGAGTGTTGATTCTGGTGCAGGACCATTCGACATCACCCAGCCACATCACTCACTCCCATCAGTCGATCTATCGACTCTACCACGTGCCGTATCAAGCGTATCGAGCACAATCATGAATCTACCATCCATTATCATCTGTAGCGCACTCTTGGTGCGGAGTCACGAATCTACCATCCGTTATCATCTGTAGCGCACTCTTGGTGCCAACGTATAGAGTGTTGATTCTGGTGCAGGACCATCCGACATCACCCGAGCCACATCACTCACTCCCATATGGCGATCTATAGACTCTACCACGCTGCCGTATCAAGCGTATCGAGCACAATCATGAATCTACCATCCATTATCATCTGTAGCGCACTCTTGGTGCCTTCCTATTGAGTGTTTATTCTGGTGTAGCAGAGGTGGGTTCATGACTCTCCAGAGCACCACCAGGAGCATTGCGCGTTGCGCCTAAGGTCTTCGACCTCCAATCAATCCATGGCTTATGACGTTCTAGCCATTCCATGCCTAGGATGAAGTCATACCTCGCATCCAGGTCTAAGACCAAACAGCGTTCTATGTGTTAAAGTCCAAGATTTACAGTTTAGTCCATCGGTACTTTGATTACCGTAACACGCGTGCCAGCCGCTAAGCGAACTGTGACTGTGTCACTTTCACGCGCTACAAGCGCTTCAGCATACTGCTGACTACCTTCCACGGTGGCACGGCGTACATAATTGCCCGATGTCCCCGAATCGATCAAAATGATCCATGGCTTATCATAGCCCTTAATCGTCCCTTCGACGACTAGCAAGCCTGGCTTCGTGTTCGGTTTCGATCCGGCGATCAAAATGTCTTCTGCGTAAGGTCCAAGTAGCAAGTGTTTATAATAACCCTGAATAATGTAAGGGCACGGATCAAAGCTGCACCGACCAATTATATTGACTTAAGACGTTGACACTGTCGTTACAGCATCGTCCAGACTGTATAAGCCCATGCAGTGGCTTTAGCAAGAGCATCACCATGTCGTGTGATATTTAAAGTTACATCAATTATTTTATCGTCATTTGTACATAGGCGTTAAAGACACTAAACAAAACGAAGTCCACAAGCAGCCGCAAACACAAAGAATACACTTCCGGTATACGGATGCACTTTACGAACTTGCGCAAAGCCACGTTCGAAGAGACGGACCTTAAAACGTTCTTTAAGCCTAAAAAGGTCAGGTTTAAGCTTGTAAGCACCTACTTGCATGATACACCGTTGACGTTGGCGGCTTCAGTCTCTGCTTACCATTTTTATAGTGGATGTCCTGTGGATAACGTATTTGTGTATTGTGAGTCATAAGGTTTTTACAGCGAAAAAGACAACGATTGCAAGGACAAGGTCCAGATATGTCATAAATGGTATAGCGTCACAGGATTACAGGACGTTAGCACTCAAGACCAACGTGCTCTGATGGTGTCGAGATGCAGCAGTCTGTTTTTAGTGGCTAGTCGAACCGCCGAAACGCTGGTTCTTTCGATCACAGATTATTCAGTGCATTTGTTGTGCCTTCATGAACTTGTGTCCATCATCAGCATCATAGCCCACAACTTAAGCTTTGCGTTCCAATTTAGCCATGGACACGAGCGTCATGTAGAGTCGACAAGTCTTTAACACTTCAATGTCAAAGCATTAAGAGGCTTTTAAAGTCTGCGTGGAAACAAACAAGTGCTGAGTAACTAGCTTCGAGTAAAACAACAGCCGCCACTCAAGGCCTGGAAAAGGATCAAAAACAACACTTGGATTTTTCGTCTGCAACACGAAAGCTGGAGCAACGTTCGTCTAGCCTTTCATGCGCATCTTGCTCGCTTACTCCATTGCCTCATCGCGAGCATTATCTTGATATGACTCAAAACATGTATTGTCATCGAGCTCCCTTCATAATCCAATGCAGTATACAACGTCACAGATCAGCAGCATGAAAAGCTCTCACGCTTCGATGATGCGCTACTGAGATCGATCGTTTCGGGTACATAACTGCAGCAGGCAAGTTGACAGGTCAGAGCCTACTCACAACCTATACATATACACAAGATATACATATATATTGTACTGGCACGTACATGTCTTCTTGGCCCTTTTGCAAAGCTGCACTAGCAATCGTCTGGAAAGCTTCTTCCACACTCGTCGCTTCCTTTGCGCTCGTTTCATAGTGCTGAATTGGCTGATCAATCCCACCACGTGAAACACATCAGCGCTAGTTCTCTTGCAGCATAAGTATGTCCACTTACCTGTTGGGCATTCTTGCCACGACACCACTCCTGTGCCTTCTCCTTGGGAACCTGCATCATAATTTGTATAGCGTCGTTTAATTACTACAATTCCTCATTTCACGTCCATTTTCATTTCACCTCACCCTTCGTTCCGATTCCTTATCAACCTTGTTACCAAATACAATAAACGGGAAAGCATCAGGGTCTCTTGGCCCTGCCTGTGCTAAGAATTCATCGCGCCACGTGTCCAGTTTCTCAAAAGACTACAATAAAACGACATACAAGAACTATCAGCCTCCTCTGCCAGCCTTACCACAGCACTTGTCTCTCCACTAATCACCTTGGTATTAGTAATATCGTAAACCAGCACACATGCATCAGCACCACGATAAAATGCAACACCTAAACTCTGGAATCGCTCCTGGCCCGCCGTATCCCAGATCTGCATCGTCACGAGCTTATCGTCCAACATGATCTCTTTGGTAAGAAAGTCGGCACCAATTGTGGCTTTGTACTGGCTACTGAACTTTTGGTTCACGTACTGGTTCATAAGCGATGTCTTTCCGACGCTAATAACAATCACAAATACATTATTCCACTGACGTATAAGCAACAACAACAAAGAAAGCGTTCGGAGAGAATTTGCTTTTAATTTACATCAAGAAACGTGACGTACCCGCTATCACCCAGGATAATTAACTTTAGCAGTAATTTTTTGCGATGTGACATGTTTATTTATCAACGGATCACTTGATTAACTTTGCAGCGTTAGACGTACACAAAGAGAGAATGAAGACGCTGTTGGCTTTACGATTCTCTTGACCAAATCAATATGACGAAAATCTTTCTTGTGCGTTTTTAACCAATCAAAAAGCATAAAAAAACTAACGCACAAATGGCTACACATTTATATTCAAGTCATTCTTTTTTTATCATAGTAGACGACGTGTTGGAGCTCCAAAGTGGAATTGACAGATAGCAGTAGCATTATTACGCGTAGTTGGCGCAGTCAGCGTTGTTGAAGTGGACGCGCTTGACTCACGGTTTGCCACTTCTGTCTGAATTCGATTTAACTCCAGCATTACGATTGGATCACAGTTCATCTCGGTCGCCAAACGGATTGTCTTTTGTACTGCCTCTAAATCACTCACAGGTTGGCGAGCTGGAGCGGTCACAGTACGATGCCATGCAATACGAGATAACCACGTTTCATCCAGTGAACCAGGATATCCTTGGTCAAAATCAGGGTACTCACTTATCAAGTTGCTGGTACTATTCGTGTTGCGGCGGGGTGCAGCTGGACGGGGTGATGTTACCTGCATGTCAAATGGTGTCGAGCTACTCAATGTTGATGGTTCTTGCGTCATGGTATGGCGGGTCAAATCCTCCGAACTCAATTGTATACCTACAGTGCCTTGAGCAGCATGTAGCGCAGAGTCGGCAAAATCTGCATCTGTCAAGCTTTCATCGGATATTTTCTCAGAACTAGGTGCAACGACCTCAATCAGCCGCATGGGGCTAACAAGTTTTAGCCGCTTCAGCAGCACTTGAATTTGTGCATCCAGCTTTTCATCGATACGGTCGTCTAACGCAATGGAACTTCCTGATTCAGAAATAACCATCACGCCTACGTGTGCGAAGCTAGCCATTATGCGAGTCCGCGGAATTTGCTGCCAACCTTGTGCTACCCACTCTACTACCTTTTGCAGTGGAACATCATAAATATCAAGCTGGCCTTCATCTCGTCGATCAAGCGCATAGTCCAAGAGTTGGTGGCGGTAACGGCGCTTAACGGCAGCCACAACGCCCATTTCTAGAGCTCGGACGCAGAGCTCTCCAGCGTGGTTGCGTTCTACAAAATGCATCGTTACATTCGACAACGAAACCTTTTGCACGCACATGGCAGCCACCGAGTCAACAATGAGAACAATTTTGCGGTTAGTAACACGCATGCGCCAATCAAGCGCCATGAGCCAGTCTCGTAGCATCGTTGGGGGCATCCAGGCCTTGTGATTACAGGCAAATTGGTACGGCCGTTCATCTACCTTTTCACTAGACTTTATCGGCAACGGGTGAGGTCCCACAAAAAAAGGGTTAAGTCTATCACTACCGTCAGCATTAAGTGCCAACAGCATCGTCAACTTTTTTTCCGGATGGTGATTGGACGGTAATGCCTGTCTATCAGGACTCATAGCGTAGAATAGCCGCGTCTCATGCAGCCAATAGACATTGTCCGGTGATACACCCGCTACTGCTGCCTTGATATGGTTTGGTGTCGAGATCACCGATGTTTCTGGCGCAAATTTCGGTTTGCCGTCCACTTCTTCATGTGCTACACGTGACGTTCGTCCTTTACTACCTTTACCTCCTCCTAAAGAAAATCCATGTCTTCCCATAAAAGAATGCATCCAGCCATTGGAAAACTGCGGCGGAGAGCACGTAACGCTCTCGGGTAGTTGTGGGGCCAGCAGCTCATAAAAGACTCGTGCTTTATGACGCACAAGGTCACCAGGTAACTTCAGTCTTCTGGCTTGGCAGTAGAGGAACCAATTGGCAAGTGCAGAATCAACCTCAGGACACTTGACAGTACGCAACTTCTTATAGTCACGACCTTCGCCGGACACGAGTTCAAACTGCGTGCGTTTTTTGAGCATGTAGCTCATGGCGGCCTGTGATGGCACATAGTCGAGATTAAATTGCTCCTTAGCCCATAGACCCAATTGTGTCTGAGTAGTTTTGGGGAATTGCCGTGCGTGGAGACAAATGAGACGCTTTTGCTCGTGTGTGAGGTTAGTACTGCGTGCTTTGGGTCGTGTCATACTTGACCTGCTCGCAGGCTCTGTCTTAGCTAATAAACCACACCCAAAAGTGAAGTTTACGAAAAACTACTGAGGTTTTATATGCATACTCGAAAAAAGCTTCCTAGAGAGCCTGTGAAAGATGATTTTTTAAGGAAGGACATGTGGACCACAAATCCACGAATCAATCTGACCAGTTCAATCAAGTTGCCTCCGTCAGGAGCTTCCGTCAATGGACGATTTCGTTTCATTCTGTCACGTCATATGCTCTTGCTAGCCTGTATCTACGTGTTGCTACTACAAAATGACAAAAACTGTGCAGTCTCGCTTCTTGAGGCGCCACCGCACTTCAAAAGCCGTGGTCGCATCTGACCGTATCGTTTTATATCAATCGACAGGTGTAAAGACATCTTTTTACAAGACGTGCGCTGCAAGGTAACATATGGTATTGTCGCAGCCCTTGACTCGATGGATCCGCTGAGGTACTGAATCAACGGAAGGTCGTTGCGGCACTGGGCAGCAGCGATGATTGGTCGCATGCAGTGCGTCACTGCTCGCGCAACGCACGCCGGACATGAATTAACTGCTGGTAGCGATCTGTTTTACAGCCGTTTTAGTATCATTAAACGCGTGGCTAAGATAGCGCAACAGCGTAGAGGCAAATCCATTGCTCGCTCCGATGCCATTATGGCGGATTATGTCGTTGCTCTTTGCTTCAACGTGGCCATGCAACCCATGTCGCAACAGCACAAAGCTCATGCAAGAACCGACTATTACAGCCATCACAATGCTGTTGTATCATCCATGGAAGCCCAAAATCTGCTTACATTACCGCAACAACAAACTAGAGATTGCTACTGTACGAGAAAAGACTGTCGGTCGACACAGGTCATACTTTTCACTTAGCAAGTAATGCCAGTGCATTTAAAAAAAAGGCATATGGAACCAGGTCGTGTTTTTGTTCGATAAAATTGCTATAACCAGTCAGCACGTATCGGAAATTGCCCCGTCGATGTGATTTTATCAGGTGGTGATCGTTGATTGGCGCATCTCCGTTAAAATAGCGACTCTTCACGATAACGCCGTATTTAAACCTCAATGGTATTTTCGCGCCAGTATCGCTAGAGCGACAGGGCGCAAAGCACACCACAGATGAGGAAAACTGCGAGAAGTTAGAAACAAAGTCAGTCACATAGTGAAGACAAGAGGATCAATAGACAAGCGGGAAAAGATCTTTCTTTCTATTTAGATCGGGTAAAAGAACTGGACTCGACCTTCACTTTCATTTTTACCGTATTTTAAGATTTACGGCTTTAGCTCTATCACCTTAATTGATTTTGAAGCAACTGTCTTCACATGGTGATCCAAACGACTTATTTGGGTACAGGGGAAGTACAAGCAATAGCCGGTCTCTGTGAGGACCATTTGGGTAAGATAAATTGTGATTGGCAGTTCTATTGTAACCCACAAAAAGACGCAGACGCGCGCTCGGATACTTCAGTCCGTACAATGGACGAAGGTGTGGATCTTGAAGTATTGGCCTATATGGCCGCCACTGAAGACTGTACCTATGACAAGTGCTATGATGCAACTTCAAACGTGTCTGGTCTGCCACTTGTGTGCAGTAATTGTGGTGTGTCTTTCTTTTCACTGCAAATTCCTGATGATCAGCTAGACTGTTACTGCTCTGGTGAGTGCAAGTGGAGTGTTATTATGTATCGAGAGATGGTTTTGCATATGTTTACCATGCGCCGATCTACGTGCCCTTGCCCTCGAACACCTCTTGGCAGTACGTGCTCGTCCTCGAGTTTCTATGAAAACAGTGACGAGGACGAGACGGAGGAGGACGGACTTGCGTCTTTCAGCTTTCGTGATGATTCAATTGCCAGTTAGAATGCAGTAACGAAAGAGACTTGCATGCACAGCAGTGGAGTATTTACTATTTAAGGTGCCGCCACAGCACGGTGAGAGATGGAGAGATTTGAAAAAGAAAGAGAGAGAGAAGTGTTGTAGTTCATCAACTGCATGCAGTTTACAGTAGTGGCGTGTGTGTATAACAATTTCCATCGAGCGGATTGACTTGCATGTTTTCATACCATATTGCTTGACGTCATCTTGACCCTTTTCCACTTGCAAGAAGTTGCTGTTGGTATATCGGGATGAGAGTATATCATGTATAATATATGTTTCACATTTGTCGGGATCATTTGACTTTGCCAACCGTTTGTCTTTATTGCCCTCTTGCAGCAAGGTTAAAAATTCTTCTTAACGTACTCGTCAGGATATACTTTCCAACAACCACGATGCTTCAGTGTAGGAAGATCATGCAGCTATTCATCGTCATCGTCGTCGTCATCAGCCATTTCATCTTCCTTGATAGACTGAACGGCCCACTCGTTCACCTCATCACGCAAATTGTCCGGCACAAGATGGTGCTGCCACTTCGTCTCCTCGCAGATCCAGCTTAGTTCCAACTCAAACGGGTGACGCACCTCGTCGTGCAGCGTATTCAGACTGCATTCAAATACAAAACACAAATCTTTCAGCAAATGCTGCTTCACGAAAAATACAGCAAAGATCTACATACATCTTAGCAACATATTTCATGGCTTCACGACACGTCATGTCAAAAAGCTTGTGCTTTTCAATCTCTGTCTTGGCCGACTGCTGACCCTTGCCCAGTGCACATCCCCGATAGCTCTGCAAATCAGGATCACATCAGCTTCTTGTCAGCATAGTAAAATGACAATAAACGAGTAAAGCTTCTCTTTGCATTCTTGTACACGTACATAAGTAACTCCAGAGGGCTCTACTATGTAGAGACTAGACTTGTTAGTGTCCTGGTCGTAGCCAGCAAGCATGATAGCCGTGCCAAAGGGACGGATGGAGCCGTACAACGTGTAGTAGTGCACAAATTGGCCCATGCGCTCTGCCAGCAGGTGTGGTGGTATACTGCACCCGTAGTTCTTCTTGTAATTAAGTGCCTCTTCACGCGCACGATTCACCAACTGACGACCATCAGCTACAAGTCCTGCCATGGACAGACCAACGTGACGATCAATGGCGTAGACCCGACGGTGCGTTCCAGGTACCAGCATTTTGCTGAGCAGTGTCTTTTCCACTCCCATAATGATACCATCCGTGCATTTAATGCCAATTGTTGTACTGCAATGAAAACAAAGTCATTCGTGGTCAAGAGAACGAGTTCAATGATACAAATGTAATTACTCTTGCTGTCAAAATACCCGCTGTTTTCGACGGCCTTTTTCGCGTACTCGACTTGAAAGATTCGGCCCTCAGGCGAGAATGTTCCAGCAGAGTAATCATAACCAGCACCAGTGCTACTCATATTGAGTAGCAAGATTAAATTGAATTAAGGACGGAGTACGGACGTTTACTACAGCGAATAGAGAGAAACGATCTTCGTCAAATATCCCCCTCAAAATGTAGCCAACGTTGCGCGAAGGTAACTCAAATGCAAATGGCTACCAATCATATGAATTTAAGGTACAATTTACAAAATATAAAAACATTGCTCGCCACACTATTCTTATAAATTGAGTCTACTACACTATAATGACACTGCTGGATTCTCTGAGTCTTGTTAGATCAAAGATAGGGTTGTCGAGACTTTGAATATCCTTTCTGTGATGTACATCAAATAGCGACTAACCCACAAATTGTCAAGTGGCAATCAAAAGATTTCTTACTTTCCAATCCGATACATTTGCCGTGCTACACGCTTGATGACAATGTTCCTATCCCACCGACAAACAAGACCAATATCAGTCGTGAAACATTCGTCAACACATGTTCCTTTTTTTGGCTTCTCTTCGACGGTCTCACCTCAAATTGACTCCGACACTTACTGACTTTTTTGTAAAAGATTCAAAGTCTCTTCTCATTTTGCTGTCCACCCCACAACGTCAAGGCGAATCAAACGCTTCATTTGAGGTTTCTCGTCGTGCCTTGCAATTGAACAGCACAACGCAACCTTTCTCCGCTGTTGTCGAAAAAAGAGTCTTGATGACATCTGCTGGTATTTTGAAACTCAAGCTCGGCCCCTTTTGGCTCAAGACATCTTTCCTTCTTGTCAACGTAATGCCTCTTGGTTGTCGAATGACACGTACGTACTCCGTGTAATACGACCAAACATCTGCGGTGGTCGGATTGACCTACCAGTTGGCCACTCTGACTTTCCAATCGACCTCCTCTTACGCTCCGCTAACGATTGTCGTAAACTTCGCTTTGCTATTCGGTACGGAGTAAAAGGGAAAACGCTTTGCTTTCTCGCACCAAACGCTGCAATGTATGGTCACTGGATTACAGTATTCCGTCAAGCTTTTCATGGTAGTACAAGAGTGACTAAGCAAGCGTGCAACGAGATGGCCAGTGTGAACGGCAGCGACACCGATATTCCGATGACCAATACCTGGTATATAAGTAATTATAGTATATCGACTGGATAAATGTACTTTTGCTTCTTTACGCATAGCTGAATTAGGTTTTTTAGGCGTAGTCTTATAAACTCGTAAACAAATACCTTTACGTTGAGGACATTGTTTTAACGCTGGACTTTTATTTCTTTTTTTTTTTTCTAAACGTTTTTGTTTTTTTAAAAATAATTGATTAATTGTTGATGACATATAATTTTATTATTGAATAATAACGGACTCGAACTGTTACCTTTAACTAGCAAAATTCTATCATTTTGTGTCCATCTTTCATTATAATCTCTCGATTTTGTCTTTTCCTGGTCGGACGTCTCAATATCACACTAACGCTACAATTACTTATTACTGCTTCACGATTGTTGATTTTCTTCAACATCTGTGTGAAACATTCCGACCATCACTCATCAAAGACGGCACGTTGAAGTTGCATCCCAAAAAGACTCTTAATCACTCATTTGTGTTTTAGCCAATAGGTTAATTTGAAACGAAGCCGCAAGTTTCGTATACCTCTTTAACCCGATACACACAGCTTAAACAGGTCCGTCGTCGTCGCATTACTTCAGTCCTTGCCTGGTCTTGCGTGTCCGTGGCGCCATTCTGTAGTTCTTCTCCACTCATTGACTGATCTATATCTCTATATACATTCGCCAATTATTCTGTCTATCTCTTGATCTATCTTTTACCTTCTAAACTTGTCTAGAAAACCCATCGGACGACGCATATAAGACATTTAGTTCAAGACAGGCCCATTGATTATGACGTACTCGAACGCTAATTCTGATGCTACTAGTGTCTCTGCTTCAATGAATACAACGACAGAGCCTATGGTGGAGCCTCTTGTAGCTGAAGAAGGTGCACAATTGTCTCTTAAGGTGCGGACATTGGACCAAAAAACGTATTCAATTACGGTTTGTGCGGCTGCGTCCGTACCACAGCTCAAGGAAGTTGTAGCTACTGAAACAGGCATTACATTGGCCCGTCAACGACTTATTTATCGTGGACGTGTACTCAAAAATGATCAAACATTGGCTTCATATTCACTAGAAGATGGTCACGTACTGCATCTAGTCGTGCGTGCTGTACCTTCTCCTGCTCCTTCACTTACAGACGCTGCTTCTACTGATGATCAGGGATCAGCTGCTACACCAGATTCAGATCCTAGTGTTGGTTTTACTGGTCGTGTTTCTTCTCCACGTCAGTATTCAGCATCGCACTTGAATACAATGAACGACATTGATACACTGAATGCGCGGCTGGACGAGTTTCAGCGATCAACGTTACGGTCGAGATTACGATCACGACAACTTCAGCGCCGCACTCGCTCACCACCGCCACCTCCACGAGATAACGACGAGCCGGATCCAACCATGGGGCGGTCAAGCGCAGTACAACCTGGCCGCGTGCTCATGGGTGCTACCATAGCGGTGCCTGAGGGGACAGATGTCACAATGCCATTTCTTAGCTCATTGGTTGCCAACCTCGTTACGCAGGTAAGTGAGACTGGAGTTGGTATGGAAGCAGGAGGAACCATGAGAGGAACAGCTTCAGATAGACAACGTCGTATGATGCTTTCAAGGGAAGCTCTGGGCGGCGCCACGGCTGCTGAAATGCACTCAGCTACTGCACGAGCACTTCGTAATCATCACCGGAATCGCGATGGCTCGGGAAGCCAGCGCACGGCACGACATTCTTCTTCAAGTGTTGAGCGTCAAGCTGCTCTGCGCGCTCGTACCGGGCTTCGACTTGAGGCAGTTCGTGCGACACTAGACGATGCGTCTCTTGAATTCCCCACCGAGCTTACAGCACTACCACAAGGAGACAACAACACAGCCATGTCAGAACTTCAACAGCAGGTGGAAATGCTGCTAACGCTTTTGGAGCGTTTTGGGCCACGTTTGCGTCTTCTGCCTGCTGCGCTCGCTCAGCGAGACCGCTTGGGCGAGGGAGCTGCTGCTGTGTCGGCTGGAACTAGTACTGTTTCAACTGACCTCTCTTCAGTATCCATTTTGAATGGGTCCAGCACAACCTCTGCCGCGTCTACAGCAGCACCATCCGGGGTTGCTTCAGCCTTAATCGGTTCTAGCACAACATCCAATACAGCATCAACTGGGTCAAGTAGAGCGTCAGCCGGGACCGATATAACAGCAATCAATTTTGTCGCGGCAACAGTTGGGCCTAACGCCACGTCGGGCGAGTCAAATGACGGCAACACAATCGCCAGTCCTAGCACTGCTGCAACTGGGACAACATTGTCGGGGCGTCAGATTATGTGTACTATTGAGGCATTGCAAACGATTGGAGAAACTACCGAACTGCTGGCGCGTATGGCACGTCACGCTTTTGTTCGTCAATCCATGCAGTTGGGCGAGCCAATCTCAAGACGAGGAGATAGTGCGACGGCAGGCGACAGAATGCAAGCGAGATTTCATGCGACTCAAACTGGCTCGCGTCCAAGTGCTACGGCCAGTGGCAGAACACAAATAACTTTTGACGCACTACAGGCAAGTCGTGCGGCGAGAACTGTGGCACCAGGTGAATCAAGCATGAGACCGCGGACGAGGGTAGGTCGCATCAGTACAACTGATTCGCTCGGCGAAAGAAGCTCTGCAGCCCCAACAACAGCGAGAGCATCTTCGACAGAGCTTCCAGGATTGACACTCAGCTTGCCGATGGATTTCAGTAGTGGCGCGGTACCACCGGTTTCTCGGCCGGCAATTTCTGTGCGGAATAGTCAACCTACTACTGGCGCTGAGACAGCTTTAAGCGACGGCAACGTCCCATTGCCATCCTCAGGTGCTCAACTTTCCATCTCTGGTATGGGTTTACCACTCGTGTCATCGGTGGTATTCCCTTTCTCTCTGGCGGCTGGTCTTGGTGGTAGCCATGCGACTACGACTTGGAATTTGGCGGACTTTGTCAGTCGACTGACGAGTGAGCTTCCAATCTCTACTCTGTATGGGGTTATGGCGGGCGACGCCACACATCTACACCACGTATTGGCGCACATAGGCTTTGCGCTGTTCAGCGGTGTTGATGTTCCACGGGTGACCCGACCGAGTATCCTTACCTGGGCACAGGACCTTGTCGGTGAGCTTCGTCGTCTATTGCGCGTAAACGCGCTGCCTGCTGAGGTGACAGATCAAGTTAATGGGACTGTCGAGCGACGTGTGGCTTTCGGCGACGAGCTGCTGCCTGTAGTAGAGCCATTTATCCCGGACTTAGTTGACTATCTCGTCCGTGCTACATCGGCGAGTCGGGCTGCCGCATTCGGCACTAGCAGCGCAACTTTCTTGCGTACGATGGCTCAGCAGGTTATTTGCGCACTCCGTGCCTACGCAAGAGGCAACTCAACGGAATCAGAAGATGAAAGTGATGAGCGTTTGAAGCGTTTGCTACGAGGCCTGTTGGTGTGGCTTGGCATGAATAATCACATGGCAACTTTTGTCGTTGACAGCCTGTTGTGTTGGATCGAAGGAGATCGCAACGTCATTCGTCGCGGCCAAACACGCCAGCGTGACGAAGCCCGTAGCGATGCTGGTGGTGCCGACCCTCCGGCTGCTAAGCGGCAACGCGAGTAGGATGGCGAAGTGTCCCGTACAAGTTGGTTGACTAATGATGCCTTCTCAAGGAGATGGATAGTAGGATAGGAGTGATGCGGATTATTGAATGGAACATGTATAATCTTGCAAACAACATAGTTTTGTATTTTTGGTGCATATGAACACAGCAAATTGCGCGTAAAGCTAGTTCGACAGGGAATTCATCGTTGGAAATTTGGGATAAACGCGCTTATATAGGTGAATACAAACAGTGTCGTGCTGCTTAATGGGTTTGTTGAATACAGCCTTCAGGTCACCGTGCGTACCCAGAGATTCCTTGATATGGCCTGTTAGACCATGCTTGGTCGAAAGCTCGACAGGTTTAAACCACCGAATATCTTCCGGCGAGTGGAACATGTAGCGTACAACGGCCTTTCGTTTTTTCACCTTCACCGGTGTACCCGTGATGATCACGCGCTTGAGCACAATGCGGTCAGGATTCACATTCTTCAGTGTGCCAGAAGCCACAAGCTGCCCGTTAGGCTTAAAGAGAAGCAACGAAGCAGGCTGGAATGTCACCGGTCCGTACACGGTAGCCACACTCCACCCACTCTGCGGCAGGAATCGCTGGAAAAGGTGTTGGTCACTCTTGAGACTCTGATCACTGAAAATGGGTTTGCCCGAAAACCTTCGAAATCCGCAATGGAAAGAAAGCTCCTCCTTCGACTTCAGCGTCTCACCAGCAAACGACGCAGCTCGTTGGACTGAAAAATTTAGCACACTAAGCCGGTTTTCGTGCTTAAGAAGCGCACCCATGACAAGAGGACCAGCCTGTATACGCGCCTGCAGCTTTGGCACGGACACACTCTGGAGATGCAATGTGACGAACACGCCAGACGGCACGTAACCCCTTTCGCCAAACTCCTTGGGAAGCGCATCGCTAGCTAGAGAAGATAATGCAACGGAGGCAGCATCGTCCACGTCCTCCATTGCCATCGACGAAGCACGAGAACGTGCCTGCTCGCTCTTGACCTTGCGGCGCAGCTGATCCTTCATCGCACGCTCAGCATCCTTGCCGCGCGTAAGAGCAAGACGCTGAACCATCGCAAAGTCCGCAAACTGGAACAACCGAGAGTAATCCGAAGGAAGCGACTCCTTCGGGTCCCATGCACTCGTGCGCAACGATTTCATTCCACGATAGCGAGCAAACCGCACCCGAGCAGGCTGATCTCCAGGAGTATCCACTTCATCTGGAAACGTCATGTTTTCTTCTTCATCCTTACGCTTTTGAGCTTGACCGACATAGTCCTCGTTATCAGTAAACATGTCGTCGTCGTCATCATCGTCGTCGTTGTTCTCGCCAGTCTTGCAAAAGTCCTGGTCAACCGCCAGCTCTTTTTCCTCCTCACTATCGTTCATTCCGTCCTCCTCATCCACCTCATCTTCACCTTTAAGCCAGGCTGCCTGGTAGCTTGATGCGCCTTTATTAGCTACAATTTTCGCCTGACGTTGCTTCCTTGCCTCTGCTTCAGCTTCAGCCAGCTCTTCCTTTGTAGGCCACGTCTGTTCAGCGGCAAAAGGATCGTATTCTGCCTCAAAACGCAGGTCCTCCTGGAGCGTGGGGTCAGCCATTGCGAGCACAAGTTCCTCTTTCTGTTCAGTTATACTTGCCACTGGAGTGACAGGGGGTTTACTGTTCATAGCTGCGTCCAGTTTTCCACGCTGCACCTGACGTACCGCATCACGGGTAATGCGGCTTAGCTGGAAAGTCCCTACGTCTGTAATATGGATAAGCTGATTTACCGACAATGGCTTGCCTCGCAAGTATCCGTTCACTTGCAACGCACCGACTAGTTCGCCCTGCTGATTTTTTGTCTCTGTGCGAGGCACAAATGTAGCCGTCGTAGCTAACATATACGACCGCGCCTCACGCCAATGAATAATCTTTGGTGACAACGTAACCAATACTCGAAACAATTGGCCGGGCACGTTTGCTGCAGCTACCTTGGCACTATCGCCAAACTCTGTGGCAAAAAACTTGTTACCTAGCTTCTTCAGCTCCGTTTGGCTTTTGAGTGTGTGTTTTTCTAGTCCCTGGATCAATCCCACTGTAGTAGGCAAACCTTGAGCACGAACAGCCGATATGATCCTCACACCTTCCTCGCTCAAACCTCCGTCTGCTCCATTGTGCACGGACAGCACGAACACAACCACATCAGCTACCTTGGCCGCGTCCAAGGCCACCAACAAGTTACAGCCACAATCCACGATACATATTTTCTGCTTGTGTTGGCTATAGACACCAATGGTACAATTATTAAGTCGTACGATGTCTTGAGACTGCGGTTCCTCGACACTCGATGCGCTCTCCAAGATGCTCTGCTGTACTTCGACTAGATTGGCTTGATCACTGAGACCCACTAGAGCTACAATCTTGGGTGGACCAAGGGCACTACCAAGTCCAAAACGACGTTGCAATAGTATTTCCTCGCGTTTGTTGCCTCGCAACTGCTTCTGACGCTGCACACGAGCCGCCTTTTGACCTGATAAACTCATGCTGCCAATGCTTGAACCAGTACTACGCACACTAATCCGACGACCTTCAACTTTTCCACCCGTACGTTTTGCTAATAACGTCTTGGACTCATGACGACCAGCCTTGTGCTTTTTATTTTTCTGCTTCAGCGGCCCAGCGCGATGATGATGAGACGTCATGATAGAATGAGGAGATATAGGATGACTGACTGACTGACTGACTATCAAGCACTGCTGTCCAGCAAAATGAGACGATATGATTGGATAATACGATGCATACATGTTGAAGAGAAATGAGTGGTCAATAAAAATACAATAATCTCTATTGTTGTTACTTCTACAACTCTTGTCTCTGCTAGTACTATTACTACTATTGCGACTACTACTATTGACTCGAATCATTGGCGATCATGGACGCGGATGATGCGACTGCGCGCTTTTCAGCCAAGTACAGCGTCGAGAAGCTAGCTACGCAATGGAATTTAGCACCCGACGTGTGCAGGACGTTAAATAATCGGAACATTTGTTCTTTCTTTCCCGTCCAGGCTGTGGCAATTCCCAAGATCCTCGCAAGTGACAACGACCGGGTGATGGACATTTGTATCTCAGCACCAACAGGCAGTGGCAAGACGTTGACGTATGTGATTCCTATTGTTCATCGTCTTTTGAAGCGTATAGTATGTCGTATACGTGCTCTCATTGTATTACCTAGTCGAGATCTTGCTGTACAAGTACATGAGATTATGCAGCAATTCTGTAAGGACACACCACTCAAGTGTGGATTGGCCATTGGACAGAATAATTTTACAATGGAGCAAAAGACTTTGGTAGAAGAGAGAGAGGGATCAAGTGAAAGAATATCGACAAAGACACAGAGTTTAGTGGACATTTTAGTTGCCACACCAGGACGACTCGTGGATCATTTAGAACAGACGCCAGGTTTTACGTTACAGCACCTACAAATTATGATTGTTGATGAAGCAGATCGACTCTTGAATCAATCGTACCAAGACTGGATTACCAAGGTTTATGCTAGTATCTTTAATGGCCAAGAGGTAGAAGATGAAGGTTTAGACGTTGGAATTGGTGTCACTTGTCGACGTCAGGACTCTATAAACAGACGCTACATTCGTACGCCACTCACAAGAGTGCTATTGTCTGCGACACTTACGCAAAACCCGCGTAAATTAGCCGCCATCGGCATGAGCAATGCTGAGCTGACCAAGATTGGACGGGTTGATGATCCGCTTGCTGATAATGCCAAACAGGGCATTGCTGGCAACCTGGAAGACGATGTGGAGGACGATAAAGAAGCTCTAAGCTCGACGAATATGTACTCGACGCCAGCAAACCTGGACGAGTATTGGATCGAGTGCGATACTGGATCGAAACCGTTGGTGTTATTGGAGGTGCTGAGTGATTTTGCTGGCTCGCTGTCGATTGTCTTTACGTCGAGTGTAAGCTCCACGCACCGTCTAGCACGATTGCTTCAATTGTACTCAACCCATTCCGAGCGTATTCGTGAGTTTTCGAGTACTCTATCTCAAAAACAAAGATCGGCCCTGGTTGCAAATTGTAAGGGTGGACGCGTGGAAACCGTCGTGTGCTCAGACGCTATGGCGCGCGGTATGGATATTGAGGATGTCGCAAACGTTGTCAATTACGACGTGCCTTCGTTTATTAAGACATACATTCATCGTGTTGGTCGCACGGCTCGTGCTGGTCGTCACGGTCGCTGTGTGACTCTCGTAAAGATGGGTCAAATGAGAGGCATGATGCGCATGCTCAAGAAGGCAGACAACAACAAGCTTAAACCGTATCAGCTCCGGCAGGACCACATGAAGACATTGGTGCCTCGGTACACTGAAGCTCTTCAGCAGCTCAAGGACACACTCGAAGCGGAGAAAGCTGGTAAGCTTCAGGCCACCTCTATTCTTCGCAAACGCAAGGACTCTGTAAGCAAAGAAAACAAGGAAAACGGCACCACAGAGGATGTTACTTTAGAGGAAAAAGTCATCGGCGCTAACAAAAAGCGTGCATTCTCAGTTCTATGCGGCCAGCTTGAACGGAACTTGGAATACAGAAAACTTTGTAAGCAATGATCAGCCTGTAGATAGATAGACAAGAAGCGGAGTGTGTCAACCTGTCATCGTTTAATTTTACCGACAACTAAGGTTCTGTATTTGCTTGTAGCTGCAATTCGAGCTCGTCCTTTTCATCTTGGTTACACTTTTTCTTTAGGATCAACGTATCACCGCATTCTTCTCGCTCTTTCTGAATCTGTATCCGCTTCAGATGATATTTATGTCCCTTTGAACGCAAATGTTCCGCCCACTGCTTCTTGCCCGTGAACTCACGTCCATTACAGACCAAGCACAAGTTCTTCTCAAACTTGTCCTCCACTGAAGCTGCCTCGGCTGATTCAGGTATTTGCTGCTGTACAGTCTGATATGTTGTGATCTCTTCGCCCTTCAAGAACTTTCGAGCAATCGCAACAGCTGGCTCAACCACGTGCGCGTTCCAGTTCGCAATATCACTGCTATCCATTTGGTAGACGGGAATATTCTTTGTCACAAATTTGTTTCGAATCCACGAAAGCTGTCGGCGAGCATACTGGCGCGTAGCAACGTTCAGCTGTTCAATACACGAGTTCAAGATAGTCTCAAGCGCCTTCGGGTCGTCCAATGTGCCGTCAGCAGCTTCTAGCGCATCAAAATACGGCTGAAACTCCTTGTATCCGATGGATTGCAAAATGCCAACAGAGTTGTGCGTTTCTTCCTCATTGTCACCACCAGCGTTCAGTTGTGGTGGGTTTACTTTTACGTAAGCACGCAGACGACGAATCTCCTCGATTAGTCCAGAGCTCAGCATGGTATTCACGCGCGTACCAAGACGTTCACTCAGTACCGGTTTACTCGCATGCACCCAAAAGGCACAAGCATCATAATATCTTTCCACACTGCGCTGCTCTTGTTGAGCCAATAACTCACTATGCGGGATACCTGTTTGCTCAAACACTTGTAAACTCCGTTGTACTTTACGCACATTATTCATATGCAATCTAGTAGCCATCACTGGATCAACAGTTTGTAACCGAGCGTAAAGAAACTCGAGCGTCTGGTGTTTCTCGTCCTGCTTCTGCTTCTGCTTTTTCTCTTCTTCTTCTTCTTCTTCTTCGATCGACACCTTGAGCGGCACATTGTCCAGTAGCTGAGATTTCCATAGAATAGACTGCATATAATACATCGTACCACCTACAATAATCGGTAATTTACCTCTTGCTAAAATATCATCAATGGTCTTTAATGCTAAACACTTGAATTGTACTACATCACAGCGAGAACTTGGGTCAACCACATCAAAAAGGTGATGTGGAATTCCTTGTTTTTCTTGCTCTGTGATCTTCGCTGTGGCTACATCAAGACCTTGATACATCTGCATTGCATCAGAGTTAATAATCTCACCATCTAAAGCCTTGGCTAGATCAATAGATAGTTTTGTTTTGCCTGCACCCGTAGTACCGACGATCACTAATACTTTGCGCATGGATGACATGATTGGACAATAGGTGACACATGACAAATGAGTACTATTTTTATTTACTGGATGGATGAGAAGTCTGATTATGTGTGACGTTTAGAAATAGAATATAGTAGTAAAAACAAGAAATCGTTATTCCATTTCTAACTGTGGGTATTGTACTACATAATGCTGTTGCTTGCTTTAGAAAGAAGAAAGTCAATGGTGCTCATGAGTTTCTCATACTCCGCTTTTGTCAATTGCTTCAACATCTTAGTCGAAACACTAATAGTAGTAGTACTAGTAGTAGTAGTAGCAGGAATAGTAGTCATAGTAGTAGCAGTTATCGTATCAGTTATAGTACTTGAGTCGTCCAACTTTTTACTCCTTATTGTACCCTCACTCTCACTCACCATTGGTGCTTTAATCCCAATGGCCGTCATGCTCTTTAACTGAAAGAGTCTACCAAATGTCTTGGACGAGAGATGTAGCACGCAGATGGGCACCTGGTGTAGTCGGCAAAGCAGCGGCAAGTGGCCATATACCAGTGATTCAGGGTTATTAGCAAAAACAACTACTCGTAGCTCTCCTCGGATCACTGCCTTGGCCACTTGATTCATGCCTTGCACTGCGTAGCTACGCGTAGACGGCACGTCGACCACCTCCTTTTGAAGTCGGTCTAGTACAATATCACGCTCTTCCTTTGACAGCTCTTCATACTGTGGTAATGTCCATGGTCGCACAATCTCCACCGTCCGTTTGGTCTTTTTCTTATGTTGCTGCTTCGTTCTGACACCATGGCTACCTTTTGACCGCATATACTGCATGGCTACCGGTATCATTGTCTTTGTCATCTAACAACTAGTTGAAGGTTGAAAAGGAGGAAATCGTTCTAAAATTAATAAATGCTACAAACTTCTTTTGTTTTCTTTCAAAAGTTTTAAAGTGTTTCAAATCGATCGAATATGTACCAATCATATCACGTCTTATCATAGTCAGTCACGAAAGAGACAAACACTTGCGACGAGTATGGGGCGGTTCTTAGGGACATCTCCCACTTCGAATATTGAACGTGGACGTCGATACGAAGTCATACCACGAGATAATAACGACGACGAAGAAGAAGAAGACGAGAATATTTCTATACATTTACATATGCAGCATCAAGTAGAAGCTGAGAACACTCACGTAACAACAACTACTAGTAGTGTTACAAGCAGGTCAGCACTTATACAGAGTGATTGTGAGGTTCAAATGGACGTAGAGGAGACAAAAACAAACAATTTACAACGTCATTATCAAGAAAAGAAGGAGGAGGAAGAAGAAGAAGAAGACAGGATAGAGACACGACCAGGACAGAATCAAGAGAATGAGACAAGTGTGGATATTGATACAATTCATGTCCGTATTTTAGACTTGAATGGTAAATTCTTTAATATTTCATGTCGTTTAGACTGGAGTGTGGCCCACATGAAGCAAAAAGTGCTTGAAAGCACCGAAGTAGCAATTGCATCACAACGACTTATCTACCGTGGTCGTGTACTAGAAGATAATGCATCATTGGAGAGTTATAAGGTGGAAGATGGACATACTGTTCATTTATTTGTACGAGCAGCATCTACGCCTGATCCTGAGATATTGAGTGCGGAATTGAATGCGAATGGAAGTATTAGTGGAGAACGAGAGGACGGTGTTACGGTTGTAAATATTAACAGTGATATTGTATCGTCCGCTGTCTTCCCGTCTGACTCAGCGAGACGAGTTGACCCGTTGATGCTGGATTCATCGCTTGGCAATTGTGCACGTCGTGTAAAACTCTGGAGTTCTTTCTTACTGATTATTTACACGATGAAGGTGATGAGTCAATTTGCGCTACTTGCAAACGATCATCAACAGCGTGCAGCTCAGCAGGGACAGAACGTTATGGGGACTAGTGAAACTGATCGGACCATTAACCGCTACGACGATTATCCACAATACTACTATACACCAGACCCGCTTATTGGCGGGATTGAGCTTATGGTACACTGCTTTGGTGTGTACGTGGGCTGTGTGGGTTTCAAGGCAGCACATGACACGGACATTCGCCCTATTCGTTTTTATTGCCGAGGTGTCGTATGGCTCTCCATTCTGACAGTATTAGAGCAGCTTTACACGACTGTACAGATTGCCGGGTCTGACTTTCCGAAGGAGCGCGTGCGTTACCCTTACGGCGGGCAAGGGCCGACCAAGGACGATATAGTATCAGCGAACATTTTCCAGACCATCGTACTTGTTGGTATGTGGATTATTGCCATTCGCCACTCGTACCTGCATCAGCGTGAGGTATCCATCTACAACCAGTCCTTTGCAACGGCAGCCATGAATGCCGCGCCTCCTGTACACCTGCCTGAAGTGGTGTAATGGAGATAGTATCTTATCGGTTTGTGGCTTCCAAGCCAATGACAACAAAATATATAATGAAAGCGTGTTCCTGAAAGTGGTTTGATGATGGAGATGGAGCATGCTGTCGAACTGTAGCAAAAAAAAAGTATGGCGTAACGACGAGTGGAGTGACGCAATGCGGGTATCAATCAGCTGACAGATTTCTAACAAGTTTGCTACGTCTTTTTTGTCTTGTTTTAAGCGCAGGAATAACAGCATTGACACATTTGTGTAATATCAGTTTGACTTATGCCGTGCTTGCAATACAGAGCAAAAAGTGGTAGTAACAAATTGGTAAACATGAACGGGACGAGATTTTGTCTTAGCTTGATGACGGAGGATTTACGCAAGTGCATCCCATTAAGCAGGTGGGAAAATCGCTACCAAGGCAACTTTGCTACCAAGTGCATAACGAGGTTGAGACATTATGATGCTCACGTATTTCACTAGTGCAGCACATGCGCGCGTTCTCGACGCAGTGGAGACACTGACACTTGCTCTTCATCGACACTGCCGAAAACGCAGTTTGCTTACCTTTGCACTCAGTTATTTCACGGGCTATCACTCACTTTTCCGCCGCACAGTGGTGTTGAATCGCTTTACTCGGAATTTGTACACATATGGTCACACAAGTAAGAGAGTGTAGCACCCCTCACTCGATGATTCACCTCCTGTGCTTTTGTAAAGCATGCAAAGCCAGCTTCTTTCAGCTTTCCGTACATGTTCTGCTCACTTCTGCACGCCAGAATAGGTCTAGGAAACGCCAATATTCGATTTTGCCTATCATCACTACAAGCATGAATACTACATTGGCGCTAAAAGCTACCTCAAAGCGACACACACAACATCGGAAAAGATGCATCCTCATGAATACCAGGCTCCTCCTGCTTGGGTTATCACTATCAGCCCACAGACGTGTAGTAATTACTAATAGTAAGTATAGTACTCCAAGCAACCACACCTATGGTGCGGCTTGTGGAAGAAAGCAGGTAAGGAATACAGCGATGGTGCAAGTATAAGCAACACATGCCGGAGAATACAACGAACTTTGACAACTGTCATGATGTAACGGGGTTACACGAAGGTGTATATTTTTTACATACACACCTGCCCAAAAACTGGAACTTCGTGAGAGTTGATGCACCGGCACATGAGCAGTCAAATAGACACTCGGCCCCGTTGAACTGGGTACGTGTCAAATTTCTTTAATTTGACATGATCCTATCATCTTCGATAACGCAGCCTGTAGCTCATTCAAAAGCTTTTGGAACTCTGATGCACGCTGCATCATTCAAAGTAGCTTATGGTCCCATCACTTGTACTAGCTAGCACTGTGTTGTCACAATCCACAAATCCTATAGCTTCGATGGGTTGGCTATAATACCATACAATGTCTAACAGCTTGTCATTAGCAATATCGTAGTGTTTATCCTTTCTACGTGCTCGCTGTGATCGTACCGGTTTACAATCATTTGGCAATTGACGCTGTACCTTTGACACATTGCAATCAGCAACATCCTGATGCGTGTTACCTTTGTGTTGCTTCTCGTTGCGGTCATGCAGGGTGCGTGCTTTATCTGTAGCCTTGCCGACACTGGAGAAATCGTCGAGGTGAAGAATGCACGAACTGACGCCAGCAACACCCTCATCGATAGTGAGAGGCCACTTGTGGCAACCTCAAGGGTAGTGACATGATCATTGAAACCCACGATGCCATGGAAGAAGAGCGAGGAATCATCGACAAATCGAAAAGTATTTTGACGAGAAATCCAGCGCTTGTCAAACAAGTTGAAAACATACAGAAGGACTCCAATATCGTCACGCCCCTGCAGAAGGCGTCAGTGTTAGACAGACTTTCCAAGAATATCAAATCGTATTTTGGAAGGCTTGCAGCCACCTCTTCTCCGATTGAAAGGGGCTTTGTTGTCGCGACCATCTTGCTCTTCATTATCGGTGCGTGGTCTGCTTTTGCGCGGTAAGCACAAATCTTAGATGATGAATTGAATTATATACTTGGTAACCCAGTGGTGCAACAAGCAAACAAGACAACTCCAGCTTTGTTGGACTTTTCCACAATCTTTGTCTGCATGCATTAAACCACGTGTTTATTGATGTATTGCAAGCTGTAACACATGCTTCGTGTGCATGTTAAGCTGCACCACGCTCTTTCTTCGATATATCCTTTATTATTCAGCACTCAAATTTCAAGTTCACAATCAACAAAAATGCAACGCTGCACTGCTGGATCCTTTACTATGATCCAAGTCGTTCTGACTCAGATAGAGCGCCATGACGGGCGTGCTCACAGCTGGCAGAACGCGGTCCAGCGCACGAGTTCTAGTACCGTCTGGTAAGTCTCGCACTGTTGCTTAACCGCACGCCGTACTAATTAAACGCACCCACTAGCGTTTCTAACGAAAATGCAACAAGAATGTACAGCCAGTGTAATTGCTGTATTCATACGTTTCCACGATGTCGGTCGCTTCTTGACGATATAAAGCGTATCTGGCTACAGCATATTATTCTGCAATGTAATCTTCCAGCTGTGAGCTTTTGGAGAAGCACAAGCTTCAACTATGCTTAAAATCGCCGTATAAGTGCAGTGTAAGTGTATCATGATCATTCATACTGCACTCAATAACACTTGCAAGCTGTTGCAGCAGCTTCGAGTGGAAGTGCCTTATCTGCGACTTGTGAGCATAGAGACAATGTAAAGGATTATTTTTTTTCCGGCTCAGATTGAAGTATTATAAAAGTAGCTTAGCGTTTGACTTTGTTCTAAAAATACGTTTCTCAAATCGCGTATTTTTAGCTCAAGTCTTGAACGAATTTCTTCTTCTATCGTTATCACCCATTTTGTAATTGGCATTATACGAGTGACATTTTTTCTATTTCTATTCAATTGGTACATAATGGCTCGTCGTTTAACTAAAGTACGTATAAAACAAACAACATTGGTCTGTTGCTATCAAAATAGTAACGAGATTTAATTGTAATGATGATGCTATAGGAACTTGCGGACTTTGAGCAAAACTCACCTGATTGGTGCTCGGTTAGCGCCGTAGACGATGATCTCATGCATTGGAACGCCATTCTTGCTGGACCTGTACGTTGTACAGTAGTGTGTGTTGAAATAAGAGGATGCTGACTATAGTTGTTACTGTTGCTGTTACTGTAGGAGAACTCGCCTTATTCTGGTGGTGTGTTCAACTTGGATCTGCAGTTTCCTAGTGAATATCCCTTTAAGGCCCCTAAGGTTCGGTTTTTGACACGCGTGTATCATCCCAATATCAAGTCACAGTCTGGCGAGATCTGTGCCGATATCATTAGCGAGGTGGGTGACGAGAGAGGATGGAAAGATGAAGAGTACTTTACATTGTATTTGACTGTTGTTATTGTGAGGCAGAACTGGACCCCGACGCTGAATGTACTCCACTGTTTGACCGCAATCAAGCAGATTTTGGAGCAGCCAGATATGAACAATCCGTTGGAGCCTGGTATTGCCAAGCAAATGCACGAGAACAAGACAGCTTTTGAGAAAACGGCGCTGAAGTGGATGGAACAGTACGCGTCCTGACTCATATTGACACAAATATAGGAAGCGAGAAGACGAAGAAATGATACACATGCAGCTAGCATTAGAACCCAAGGGTCATACGTAGCAATCGTCCTTTTTACTTTTTCAGTCAGAATTGTATCACTTGATAATGACATCTTTTGTCTAGTTGCTGTTGCACTGTTAAGCGACGTTTACAGAAACAGCTGCTACTGATGTCCACGAAGAAAAAAATGAAGAGCTCGCTACGTAGCACTGTCAGATCATTTCTCGCTGCTAGTCAAATTTGCGTGTGTAACGCAAAAATTGATCTGCTATTCCGCTGCAGAATCTGCGTCATACTGATCTTGCGTGAGCCACGTACGATGTAACCAAAGAGCCTTTGCCGGTGCGGATGGTCCAGGTGGGACTTCACTTGCTAGCACATGTTCCAGTAGGGAAGGTGGCTGGGTGCCCTCACCTATTGGTCGCAACGTTCCAACAATGCGCCGTACCATGTGCCTTAAAAAGCCGTTGGCCACAAGCTCAATGCAAACAAAATGCACAGGTGCAATATCTGCTTGCCCGACCTTCCACTTCTTGAGCTCGCCTGCTGTGATTGTCATTGTGTCATCAGGTCTATGCGTTTCCGTGGCATATTTTGCGTCTCGGTAGATGTCTGCAGTGTCGATGATTTCACCACTACCACACACATCAGGATCGAGAGAAAAGTTCACGTTCCTATCATTACAACATCAGGTTCTTGCTGTGCCAACACATGAGTGATAGATTACTTACCGTCGAACAACTACTTTCGTCGACATAATTGTACGCACTGTTTTCATATCCTTCAACTCTTGCTTCAGTAATCCCTGCGAGAACGGCCTGAAGTCATGCGTGCCCTCCAAAAACCTGTGTCACAACTGATTAATCTTCAGTTCAACCAGACTTGCCTCTACAACTCACTTGAGCGCGTCACGAATCCGCTGAATGTCTAATCTTCTTCCAAGAAACCAAGAGTACTTGCCTAGTTCCAAATCAGGTCGGTTTCCCTGCTGCAAATAGTAAATATATTTTTTGTAGCGTGACCGAATCCGCGCGGGGCCCGTGACTGGAATTGTCACGTCCAGCACCACCACTCGACCATCCCCTAATCTGTTTATACAACAACATCCATAAGTAGCTAGTAGCTATTCATCATCAAGGTAACTCTATACTCACTTGTCATTGACTCGATCTTTCAGCTCTGTCAACGACATTTGCAGCTCCGAGTCGAGACGGATGAACCCAAATTGCTACGTAAGCACATTTCACATATCCCCTTTAGCCAAATTCCGTCTCAAGATCACGATACTGTACTTTTAGCGCTCGTAATGCCCCTACATAGAGTGCGTGAGTGCCTGCATCCGTGCGACTGACTCCAGTGACATTGACACGCTGAGCAGTCCCCAGTGTCTCCGTTACTGCGGCCTCTACCACTTCCTGAACACTATCGTGGCCCGAGCTGCTTTTCATCTCATGTTGCTGTCGTTGCCACCCGACATATTCTGTTCCATAATACGCAATGTGCATACAATAACGCCAACTTGTGGACATTGTGACGGCCGCATCCTCGTGGTCTGACATTTGAGTTTCGACCACAGTGTAAATGAATGCATTTATTTGACCAAAGGATTTTAGTTGTCGACGTAACTAAAACCAGCGAAAAATACAGAATTGCATACTTTAATCAAGTATCAAATTTCTATTTCTTGTAACCTTGACGTACAAAGGGCAGAACGTCTTTTGCCTGGTCGCCAATCTATTCACACGTATACAAACATCTTATTTCTCTTCTAGTGACTGACCTCTATAACTTATGTTCTATGTACCCGACCTCACAATATCCTAGACTAGGTGAGTAAGTATCATAAGACAAATAGCGTGCATATCAATATCAGGCCAAAGGCCAGCACAAACAATAGTTCTCTGTTCTTGCACTTGCATTGACTACAGCAACTGAAGCGAACATGCAAAATTTACATATTTGCTCTGAGCAAAACTTGTCTGATAAAAGCAGATAACAGACATTTTGGTAGTCTAACGCCCAAACAAACAGCCATTACAAGACGTTTTAAACATCACGCAGACACACTGACAGCTGCATCAAATTGCGGTAAGTCTGATAGCAACGAAGTGGCATAGTTAACGTATCTGCATCGCCACCAAATCATTAAAATTAAGTCACCACTTCGCATCCGCACCTTCCCAACTAGTGTTGCAGTCTCAAGGGCATCGGACACGATCACGCGTCTTCCATCCACCATCATCTATAGCACTCTTGCTACCTACGCATTGAGTGTTCATTCTAGTGCAGGACTATCAGATATCACCCAGCCTGATCAATATCTAGCATCTGGCCGATCTACAGACTTCACCAAAAGACATTCAAAAAACTAAAAACCAGATAACAAAGGTGCAGAATGAAACTTAGCTCCGGCAAAGCTTAAATCGAGGAACGTATACATACATAGCATTCGCCAACTTACCAACCAGTGCTGAGTCTCTAGCGCGTCGAGCACAATAATAAATCTTTCTTTCACTATCATCTATAGCGCACTCTTGCTGCCTACCTATTGAGTGTTTATTCTAGTGCAGGACCATCCGACATCACCCGGCCACGTCACTCACTCCCATCTGGCGATCTATAGACTTTATTACGCTGCCGTATCAACCGTATCGATCACACTCATGAATCTTCCATCCATTATCATCTGTAGCGCACTCTTGGTGCCTACCTATTGAGTGTTTATTCTGGTGCAGGACCATCCGACATCACCCGGCCACGTCACTCACTCCCATCTGGCGATCTATAGACTTTATTACGCTGCCGTATCAACCGTATCGATCACACTCATGAATCTGCCATCCATTATCATCGGTAGCGCACTCTTGGTGCCTACCTATTGAGTGTTTATTCTGGTGCAGGACCATCCGACATCACCCGGCCACGTCACTCACTCCCATCTGGCGATCTATAGACTTTATTACGCTGCCGTATCAACCGTATCGATCACACTCATGAATCTGCCATCCATTATCATCGGTAGCGCACTCTTGGTGCCTACCTATTGAGTGTTTATTCTAGTGCAGGACCATCCGACATCACCCGGCCTCGTCACTCACTCCCATCTGGCGATCTATAGACTTTATTACGCTGCCGTATCAACCGTATCGATCACACTCATGAATCTGCCATCCATTATCATCGGTAGCGCACTCTTGGTGCCTACCTATTGAGTGTTGATTCTGGTGCAGGACCATCCGACATCACCCGGCCTCGTCACTCACTCCCATCTGGCGATCTATAGACTTTATTACGCTGCCGTATCAACCGTATCGATCACACTCATGAATCTGCCATCCATTATCATCGGTAGCGCACTCTTGGTGCCTACCTATTGAGTGTTTATTCTGGTGCAGGACCATCCGACATCACCCGGCCTCGTCACTCACTCCCATCTGGCGATCTATAGACTTTATTACGCTGCCGTATCAACCGTATCGATCACACTCATGAATCTGCCATCCATTATCATCGGTAGCGCACTCTTGGTGCCTACCTATTGAGTGTTTATTCTGGTGCAGGACCATCCGACATCACCCGGCCACGTCACTCACTCCCATCTGGCGATCTATAGACTTTATTACGCTGCCGTATCAACCGTATCGATCACACTCATGAATCTGCCATCCATTATCATCGGTAGCGCACTCTTGGTGCCAACCTATTGAGTGTTTATTCTGGTGCAGGACCATCCGACATCACCCGGCCACGTCACTCACTCCCATCTGGCGATCTATAGACTTTATTACGCTGCCGTATCAACCGTATCGATCACACTCATGAATCTGCCATCCATTATCATCGGTAGCGCACTCTTGGTGCCTACCTATTGAGTGTTTATTCTGGTGCAGGACCATCCGACATCACCCGGCCACGTCACTCACTCCCATCTGGCGATCTATAGACTTTATTACGCTGCCGTATCAAGCGTATCGATCACACTCATGAATCTGCCATCCATTATCATCGGTAGCGCACTCTTGGTGCCTACCTATTGAGTGTTTATTCTGGTGCAGGACCATCCGACATCACCCGGCCTCGTCACTCACTCCCATCTGGCGATCTATAGACTTTATTACGCTGCCGTATCAACCGTATCGATCACACTCATGAATCTGCCATCCATTATCATCGGTAGCGCACTCTTGGTGCCTACCTATTGAGTGTTTATTCTGGTGCAGGACCATCCGACATCACCCGGCCTCGTCACTCACTCCCATCTGGCGATCTATAGACTTTATTACGCTGCCGTATCAACCGTATCGATCACACTCATGAATCTGCCATCCATTATCATCGGTAGCGCACTCTTGGTGCCTACCTATTGAGTGTTTATTCTGGTGCAGGACCATCCGACATCACCCGGCCTCGTCACTCACTCCCATCTGGCGATCTATAGACTTTATTACGCTGCCGTATCAAGCTGTATCGATCACACTCATGAATCTGCCATCCATTATCATCGGTAGCGCACTCTTGGTGCCAACCTATTGAGTGTTTATTCTGGTGCAGGACCATCCGACATCACCCGGCCACGTCACTCACTCCCATCTGGCGATCTATAGACTTTATTACGCTGCCGTATCAACCGTATCGATCACACTCATGAATCTGCCATCCATTATCATCGGTAGCGCACTCTTGGTGCCTACCTATTGAGTGTTTATTCTGGTGCAGGACCATCCGACATCACCCGGCCTCGTCACTCACTCCCATCTGGCGATCTATAGACTTTATTACGCTGCCGTATCAACCGTATCGATCACACTCATGAATCTGCCATCCATTATCATCGGTAGCGCACTCTTGGTGCCTACCTATTGAGTGTTGATTCTGGTGCAGGACCATCCGACATCACCCGGCCTCGTCACTCACTCCCATCTGGCGATCTATAGACTTTATTACGCTGCCGTATCAACCGTATCGATCACACTCATGAATCTGCCATCCATTATCATCGGTAGCGCACTCTTGGTGCCTACCTATTGAGTGTTTATTCTGGTGCAGGACCATCCGACATCACCCGGCCTCGTCACTCACTCCCATCTGGCGATCTATAGACTTTATTACGCTGCCGTATCAACCGTATCGATCACACTCATGAATCTGCCATCCATTATCATCGGTAGCGCACTCTTGGTGCCTACCTATTGAGTGTTTATTCTGGTGCAGGACCATCCGACATCACCCGGCCTCGTCACTCACTCCCATCTGGCGATCTATAGACTTTATTACGCTGCCGTATCAACCGTATCGATCACACTCATGAATCTGCCATCCATTATCATCGGTTGCGCACTCTTGGTGCCTACCTATTGAGTGTTTATTCTGGTGCAGGACCATCCGACATCACCCGGCCTCGTCACTCACTCCCATCTGGCGATCTATAGACTTTATTACGCTGCCGTATCAACCGTATCGATCACACTCATGAATCTGCCATCCATTATCATCGGTAGCGCACTCTTGGTGCCTACCTATTGAGTGTTTATTCTGGTGCAGGACCATCCGACATCACCCGGCCTCGTCACTCACTCCCATCTGGCGATCTATAGACTTTATTACGCTGCCGTATCAACCGTATCGATCACACTCATGAATCTGCCATCCATTATCATCGGTAGCGCACTCTTGGTGCCTACCTATTGAGTGTTTATTCTGGTGCAGGACCATCCGACATCACCCGGCCTCGTCACTCACTCCCATCTGGCGATCTATAGACTTTATTACGCTGCCGTATCAACCGTATCGATCACACTCATGAATCTGCCATCCATTATCATCGGTAGCGCACTCTTGGTGCCTACCTATTGAGTGTTTATTCTGGTGCAGGACCATCCGACATCACCCGGCCTCGTCACTCACTCCCATCTGGCGATCTATAGACTTTATTACGCTGCCGTATCAACCGTATCGATCACACTCATGAATCTGCCATCCATTATCATCGGTAGCGCACTCTTGGTGCCAACCTATTGAGTGTTTATTCTGGTGCAGGACCATCCGACATCACCCGGCCTCGTCACTCACTCCCATCTGGCGATCTATAGACTTTATTACGCTGCCGTATCAACCGTATCGATCACACTCATGAATCTGCCATCCATTATCATCGGTAGCGCACTCTTGGTGCCAACCTATTGAGTGTTTATTCTGGTGCAGGACCATCCGACATCACCCGGCCTCGTCACTCACTCCCATCTGGCGATCTATAGACTTTATTACGCTGCCGTATCAACCGTATCGATCACACTCATGAATCTGCCATCCATTATCATCGGTAGCGCACTCTTGGTGCCAACCTATTGAGTGTTGATTCTGGTGCAGGACCATCCGACATCACCCGGCCTCGTCACTCACTCCCATCTGGCGATCTATAGACTTTATTACGCTGCCGTATCAACCGTATCGATCACACTCATGAATCTGCCATCCATTATCATCGGTAGCGCACTCTTGGTGCCTACCTATTGAGTGTTTATTCTGGTGCAGGACCATCCGACATCACCCGGCCTCGTCA